TAGTGTTTGCTTTGTAGGAAATATAAGGGATGGAGAAATGGGCTAAATAAAAACACAACAAATTATCAGACAAATTGAGAAGCTGAGATTTTCTCAGGAACTCCTGTCTCCTCAACAACTGTCTCTTTAACAAGGGACTTGGCTGGATAAAAAAAGACTTAAGGGACACATCACACAGATGCAACGTGTGATCCTAAATTGGATCTAGTCTAGACATACCAGCTGAGAAACATTTTGGGGACGGGGGGTTCACAAATGGGAATGTAGCGGTTATTAGATGAGATAAAATTTTTCTGAAATGGAAAGATGGGAGATGAACGACTGAAAAAAGGGAGTTGAAAAGCTATATGTAAAATGTGATTTCATACTCTCTGGTCTAAAAATGTGTGTGTGGACACAGAAAAAGTCTACATTTTAACAGTGATGATCTCAGGTGGTAAGAATGTAATCATTTTATTTTCGTTTGTAGTATTTTCTAGATTTCTACAATGTAAATGTACTGCTTCTATAATAAGACTAGTTTTAAAACAAATTCTATGGAAAATTTATATGACTTTTTTATATCAATAGATCCATTCATCATCATGTATGACAGAAAAATTTTAAGAAAAGCGACAGATACTGACTTGAGTAGAAGCCAAGAGAAACTGGAGGTTTGTATAAAAAAGGTCTCAACTTGAATTCTTTGACTATTTATAATGCTTTGATTTAATCAAGATACATTTAGTATCTTCCATGTAATTTCACATATAAAATGTTTTTGATGCTGTATTAAGTGTCTTAAGACAGCATTAAAAATGTAGTCTTAACTTTTTCTCACTAGAGGTATAATAATTATTATACCTTCTAATAATTATTAGCTCAGTATAAAAGGTATTTTGCTAAATAGGCTCACACAGGAGCATAAAGGATTCTAGGTGCCTTTGCATAATAGTCCGTTTCTTTTTCATCATGAAGGGTCAAGCTTAATGGTTTTTAAGATGACCACCGTATATGTCAGTTGGATTCCTACAAAATAAGCAGCCATTTTAGAATGTACATATTCACATTCTGATTGCCTTGAAACTGGGTCAACGAACTTGAAGCATGCTTTTCACTAAGAGTACTCAATTTCTTTTGAATATGACAACATACCAATTTCGTAACATTTCTTTTAAAATTCATATTTAACTTGTATCCTTTGAGAATTGTTTACATCTTATTTTATTTATTTATTTTTGGCTGCATTGGGTCTTCATTGCTATGGGTGGACTTTCTCTAGTTGCTGCCAGCGGGGGCTACTCTTTCATTGCGGTGCGCAGGCTTCTCATTGCAGTGGCTTCTCTTCCTGCAGAGCACGGGCCCTAGGCGCACGGGCTTCAGTAGTTGTGGCATGCAGACTCAGTAGCTGTGGTTCGCGGGCTCTAGAGTGCAGGCTCAGTAGTTGTGGCGCACAGGCTTAGTTGCTCCGCGGCATATGGGATCTTCCCGTACCAGGGCTCAAACCTGTGACCCCTGCATTGGCAGGTGGATTCTTAACCACTGCGCCACCAGGGAAATCCAACAATTTTAAGTCCACTTCTACTTTTGGAAGCTTGCTGGCCCGCGCGGGGCTTGCCGTGGGGCGCTCTCCTGAAGAAGGAGGTCCTGGCGGTGAAGAAGTCGTCCTCGGCGTCCGCCTCCAGGCTGCTGTAGCCGCTGCTCATGCTGCTGGTCCCGTCGCGCGCGGGCCGCCTCCCCGGGGCGCTGGCGGCCAAGCAGGGGGTGTCGCGCCCGCCCGCCCCGCGAGGTTCCCGGCGCATGCGCCCGGAGCCGCTGGCGGGCTGTCCCGCTGCAGCTGCGGCCGCCGCTCAATCTACATTTTTAATTTAAGGCTGATCTTTAAAAAATCCAGCTTTCTAAAAAAAAAAAAGGAAAATACTTGGCATATTTAACTTTATTTATATCAGATTATATTTAATCTGGAGGTTAAAATGTCTGAGTTTGAAACCTAACATCACAGTTGTGCAACGTTTGGCAAGTTACCCAGCTAGCTAAGCCCCCGTCAGTTCTTTTAATCTATAAAATAGAGAAAACAGTATTTACCTCACATGATGATTAGATGAAATTATGCTTAGAAACCTAGGTGCCTGTCACATAGTAAGAGTTCAATAAATATCCACAACCATGATGGTGACTCATATAATCCTGACATGCTCTTCTTGTCCTATATATACTAACAGTATCAAGGATGCTACTGTACATCTCCACACAGGTGCCCCACAGGTATCTCAACCTTACTACATGTAACAGAACTATTGCTCCTCTTCAGTGTCCCTATCTCAGTAAAGTGTACATCATTAACCTAGTTATTCAAGACCTGAGCCTAGGAGTCACTTTTTCTTTTTTTTTTTTTTTTTTGCGGTACGCAGGCCTCTCACTGTTGTGGCCTCTCCCATTGTGGAGCACAGGCTCTGGACGCGCAGGCTCAGCGGCCATGGCTCACGGGCCCAGCCGCTCCGTGGCATGTGGGATATTCCCGCACTGGGGCACGAACCCATGTCCCCTGCATCGGCAGGTGGACTCTCAACCACTGCGCCACCAGGGAAGCCCTAGAAGTCACTTTTATCCTTTTTTTTTTCAACCCACCACCCCAATTTTCTTTTAGCTTTATTTTCAATATATTTTGAATTCAACCACTTCTCACAGGTCTATTGCTACCACACCAGTCCAAGCCAGCATCATCTCTGGCCTGGACAATTGCAAAAGACCCTAGATATAGCTCGCTTTTTTCACACTTGTCCTCCTCACCTACCTCAGTCTATTTTCTACCCGATGCCAGAGTAAGTCTTTAAAACGGAAATCACGTGATGTCACTTCCTTGCTTCAAACCCTTCACTGGCTTCACACCAAACTTAGAGCAAAAGCTAATCCCTTTTCCCTGCCCAAAGGCCCCTAAGTGATTGGGCTTCTGCCCCTCCTTCTCTCCCAGAACCTTCTCCTCGCTCGCTCCTCTCCAGTCGTACTGGCCTCCTTTGCTATCCTCGAGCATCTTGAACTTGCCAAACACACCTCCACCTCTGTACCTGGAGCCTTGCCAGTCCTTCTATATGAGGGATTCCTTCCCCATTAGCAATATAGCTCTGCAGCTCACTTCTCTGCTCAAACATCAGGCTTTTCTGACATGCCATCAACAGAAGCACCCCCAGAGCTCTGTTTTATTTTTCTTCGTGGCACTGTTACTACTACAACAATAAGTTACTACTTATATACATATTAAATATAAATATTTAATATATAAGCATATATTACATATGTATTACATACATATAATATATTATATATGTGCAAATGTATTTATGGCTTGTCTCCCCAACTAGTACATAAACTCCATGGAGGTGAGCACTCTGTTTTGTTCATTGCTGGACCCCCATTATCAAGAATAGTACTTGGTACCTTGTACGTATTAAAGAAGCATTTTTCAAGATACAGAGACTCATCTATCCTCTTGTTAAACTGGCTTGGGTTTAGTGAAGTACTCCAATCACTACTAAAATAAGCCCTAAACAAAAAAAGCAAGCAGAGCTGTTACAAGAATTAGTTCTTCCATATTCCATTCATTTTGCAGAATCCTTACAGATCTAAGTTTGAAAACAGGGGTCATAAAATTTTTTATTTTTATTCAGGAAAACTAACAGCAATCTAGCAGAAAAAATTCCTTTTATTTCATCAGAGTGCTAGAAGAAAAAAAAATTTTTTTTTAAAGCTTCCGTATTTAAAACAAGTGATTACTTACTTGGTTGAAATACTTGTAACAAAGGAAAAGAGAAAAAAGTTTTCCCTGGTTTTATTTATTACTAAATGGTTTTGTATAAAGAAATTATGATATTATATGAGATAAAATTGTTTTTACACTTAAATAAAAGGAAAAAGTCACATCAGAGTGTTAATGAACTAAAAATGAACTAAAAAATCTTTTGTAACAATTCTTAGCAATTCTTTTGCAAAAGTCCCAAACTGTGGCTCTAAAATAATTGCTAAATATCTGAGACTTAATGCACCATAAAAATAGTTGTTTTAACCTACTATATGACTAAATTATGACAGACACTATGAGCCATAGAAAATAATCTTATATTATCATCTAACTGTTGAATTCAATCACTGCAAAGCAGTATACAAGTAAAATTCCAGCAGATAACTCTCTGAACTACACACTTCATCTGTGTTTTCCTTGACACGTCACTTTTTATCTTCTATTTGCAGATCTTGGCGTTTTTGGATACAGGATTTTTGTCTGTTTTATTTTTGCCATCTCCTGCAGTATTAGCACAATGACTGGGCTACTCAGTGGATGATTTCTGAATGAAAGAATGAGTGATGCTGAGGGTCAAAGTTGGGGAATGATGGCAGTAAACACTGCACAAATATAATAGTAGACATATACCTGGAGTGTTCTAAATGAGCCCAATTAGTTAGTGCTTTTTTTATATCATATCCTATAAAAGTAAAGAGAGTTAGATAATAAAAGTGGTTTCTGTGTATCCTATTTTGCTTCACAGTATTTATCACAACTGTCATAAAGCAATCATTTGTGTAGTCATTTGCTTAACATTTTTTTTTTTTCCACCTTAAATTCCAGGGGGTAAGAACTGTTTATCTATGGCTTCACAGAGCCTCAGCATCTCACAATAGCAGGGGTCCAATAAATATATTTCGAATCAATGAACACAGTTAGGGCTGTGCCACTGCATCATTTGAAAATGCCTGGACCCCCTTCCTAGCTGAGTCTTCCAGATACTCACAGCTTCACAGAACTTCATAATTCGTTTTTCAGCGGTTTTAGGATGCACAGTGTTTCACATGCATCTTACAATTTATTGTGTCTTAGTATTCTGTGTAGTTTAATTGGCAGCATTTTTTTCCTGAGAATTACATAAAACAACATTGTTTTAATAAATGATGGTGTTTTATAATCAAGGAAATGAGATTACTGCTAATTCCATCTTGGTATGGAAAGTATAAAAACTTCAAGTACTTACATCAATTAAATCTGAAAGATCATGAATATAATACTTGAAAACTGAGGCATTGGTTGCTTCAAGGGTTAGGAGATATTCATTCCGTGCCTTAATCGACTTTAGCTTGTTTTCTGAATACTTTGCTTGTCTCTGGAGATGAAGACGATCCAGGCATTGGGGAAAACAATAAAGTCATTTTAAAACAAGACAGGGAAACATACATGAATTTCTATTCATCTAAACAATTTACTCAACATATACAAATGACCTTCGAAGTCCTTTGAGAAAAGTACATTTCGAATCTGAATTAAATAAACGAAAATTACCCAGCGATGAGGAAAAACAACAACGTATATACGGGGCGCCAGGCCCATTTGCAATGAAATCTCTGTTAATATTCAAAGTTCTCTACATTGTGTATTGGATACTTGGCATTCACCACTAAATGAGGTCCAGCTGTTATTACATGGTTTTTATGTTTCTAACACATTTTTTCATTCCCGTGGGAGGAAACGCATGTCACTTCACAGTAATTTACAATGTGTGTCTATCAGCTGTTGCATCAGTGTTCTTAGGTGTGTCACCTCCAGTGAGGACAGAAAGGCTCTGCAGTCTTTTACTTACTTTTTCCTTCATTTTTTCAATTTTCTTCACAGAGCTTCGCCGCTGATGTCTCTCTTCCAGTCTAATATGAAAGACTGGGTCACTGGATCTGCCAATTTGCTTCTCTTCTTGTTTCTCAGCCTCTTTCAGCTTGCTCTCTGCGCTGATGCTCTCTGCATGATACATATGGTATGTTTTCATCACCTGTGAAAATGTGACCCACATTGTTAAAAGATGTCTGTCTGTAACTTAGAAAGTGAATGGAAACCATTATATGACATAATATGTTAAAGATATCACCTTCCAACTGGCAGAGAGCCAGATTGTTAGTAAAATAAAGTATATACTATTCCTTCTACATAAAGCAAACAGAAATAGGCAAATTCACCTGCCAGGAAGAGGCACTTAGGGACAGGCTGTGATGAAAAAAATGATTTACAGAGTCTTGTGTGTGCTTTCAGTGTACTTAAAAAGTTCCCTCAAACTTAAAAGTGTTTCTCTAAAATCTCCTCTGCATTATTAATTTGAAGAATAAACCCTTATGCATGGATACATTTTAGTCCAACCTTGGAATTATAAAAAACTCCAAATAAATATATAGCCCTTACTAAAGGGACTTTATCGCTTAAAATGTACTTGTCAAAATACAAAATGTAAATATAAGGTTCATATATAGTTGTAGTTAAAAAAAAACTTTTTATGAGCACAAAGTAATACTTTATGTTCAATGTAGAAAACACGATACAAAAAAGAAAGTAAAATATAAAGCAAGTAGAAAATAAAAAGCATAAGATTTTGGTATACAGCTATCCAGTCTTTTTCCTACGAAAATACACACACACGCACACACACATACACACACACTTGTTCATTTTAAAATGACACATATCATTTCTCCTTTTAAAAAATCTGGATCATACTACACTTACAATTTTTAATCTCCTATGTCCTTTTCCACTTAAAAATATCAACATTTTTGTAAAACATAATTTTAAAGGCTGTATAATATTTCTTTATATGACTGTGCCATAACTTACTTAACTAATTCCCTACTGTTGAACATTTTAGAATATTTCAACTTCTTGCTTTTTTATAAATAAAGCTGTGCTGAAAACCCTTCATATATAGAGTATCTTGTTTCTTCTCTTAGAAATGATACAGGTAATTTACATTTTGATAGATTTAGGAATATATAGGAGATGAAATTTTGTAATGTATCCTTTCCATATATATTGTAAATATATAATCAATCCTCAATTAAATATTCTTTAATTTAAAAAAATTTAAAGATGTGATGACTCCGATGCCAACTGACGTCTCAAGCTTCCTTGAGGTACCAGAACTCAGCACCCAAGTAATCAGTACCAGCATATTCTCAAAAATTATGCCAAATTTTCCTCCACATAAAATGGATTTTATTTCATCTGTAAATAACTGTTATTCAGAGCCAATTTTATAACTAAGGAATAGTTGTGTTAAAGAGATTGATGTAATGTTTTAAAGTAAGGAACTTGATTTTTCTCATTTCAAAAGATGAGTTTTAAAATAGTGTGAAGACTGGAAGCATCACTGGAATAAATATATTTATTTAGGCTGAACCAAATTGCTGTTTTTTGTAGGTTATATGAAAAAGGTAGAAAATCAGCACTTATGGTTCAACTTAATACACACTCTTAAGATGACTATTTTGAAGAGTAAAACAGGGTTAATGAAGAGCTTTACTTATTTTCATAAAATCTGATGATGTCTTTCCTTAAAATCATAAGCTAGCTAATTATGTCAAAGGCACTGCTGAGCAAGAACAAAGTGCAGGACAAACTACAAAGTCATGGCAGCTTTCTGTGAGCTGTGTGTAACTGCAAAGTTGTCTCTTTTTAGTAATTATCAAATCTGTCTGGGGGTGTGGTTTGGTTGGCTACTCCAGTTTGAAAGAAAAATAAGACAGCATTAGGAAGCAGCTGGGGAATGAAATGGGAGTCCCCGTGCAGCTGGGCAAACAACGAGGTCAATGAATCTACTGCACACCTGGCATTTCTAGGCTTGGCTCTGTTTATATTCCCCGCCTGAAGCAAACCCACAGGCTGTCTGGGTCCTGGTTCCAGTTACATCTTTAAATGAGAGGGTGAAAAAAACCAATCTCACACACACTCACAGACACAGACACACACACACACACACACACACGCACAGACACACAGATGCTCAGCTGTCTTCTTGCTAGTTGACAGGAAGGAAGAAATGAGAACACGTGCCTCCCATCATAGTTGGATTGAAAAGGCATCCCAGACAGACCTGGGTAACTGAGAAATCTTGCTTTTCAATACATCCTGAAGAAAAGAGCTGAACTCCTGACTCTTGCTTTACTAAGATGCTGAGGCCTACTGTAAGCAGGTAGTTTGCACAAACTAAGCTTTAGGAACTAAGGATTCTGAGCTGGCTGCTAGCATGACGTTTCTGGTTAAGCAGGCTGGGTTAAAAGGAAAACGTTTGAGTCTGACCTAACACTAGCAAAGAGAGGGTATAAATATTTCATCACAATGTGCTTCAGCACAATAGCTGAGGATTCTCCACCCAGTTCAATAGTAATTTCCAGAAAGGTAATGTCTTTGTTCCATTTATCCAATTTGACTTAGGGCTTCCACTGTTCTCCAAAATGTCAACAGTTACAATGAATGAATTTTAAAAGTCGGAGAGAAAAAACTAAAAGCTTCTAGAGAACTCTAATTGCAGACAATGAATGCCAGTACAAACTGCATTATTTAAAATGTAAGCTGTTGACAGAAGTTAAATGTGTTTTGTATTTAAAATAACAGACAGTTCTCTCTTTCTCAGAGAAGTAAAAGAAAGCTTTTGAATATATATACTGCAAAGAAAATAACAGCTTCTCCATCAGCTTAATGCAAACACAAGCCTTTGTATACCAAATGACATGATAGGCATATATCCATTTAAATGTACTCCAATAGCATATTTTCCTATTTGAATTCTTTTCTACTAAAACCTCAGGCATAATTCTCCATTGAACACACTCAATTTACCTTCCCTGCTCTGTCTTCAACTGGAAGAAGAATATAGTCAAGTAGAAGGTGACCACATCATGGATTTCTTTGTGACACTTGAATATTGCCAGAGTATTAGCAAATCATTGATGTCAGAATAAAGGGAATATTAAGCTGGACTTTGTTCAAATCCTCTGCCCTTACCAATCTCTCTTTACCTCATGTACCTCCCACCTCATGTGAAATCCTATACAAAAACTTTGGACAGAAACTGTATATACTTTTTTCTTACTGACAGACCCTATATAATGGATCTGACACTACTCTTGTACTTTAAATCAAAGTAATTAAAGTATCTATAGTAAATTTCAATATTCAGTGTCAAGAAGTCATGGTGTATCTGAAAACGATCCATGTGCTGGAGATCAGTCGATTAAGGGTATAAATTCTACTTTTTGACTTCTGGCTCAGAAGTTAGAAGACATGGTTCCAGGAATGAATCTACCACTTACTAGGTGTGGAGAGTCATTTAACACTTCGGCTCACCTTACAAGGTTGTTGCGGATACCCAGTTGTACACGGTCCCTGTGTGTGGGTACAACTGTACCTTTACTGAGTACTTACTACATATGTGTGTATATATATGTATATAATCTATACCACTAATATATATATAAGGAGATATATGTAATGTGTATCTATTTAGCTAAACAAACATTATATAATTCCTACTACATGCCAGACATTGTTCTAAGCATTTTACTAATACTGGGTTGGCCAAAAAGGTCATTTGGGTTTTTCCATAAGATGTTACGGCAAAACCCGAACGAACTTTTTGGACAGCCCGATAATAGCTTATTTAATCCTTCTAAAAATGCTTATGAGGTAGGTACCTTTATTCTCCCCATATTACAGATGAGAAAAGTGAGGCACAGAGAGGTTAAGTAACTTGCTGAAGGTCACACAGCTGATAATCGGCAAAGCAATGGTTGGTACCCCAGCAGTCTGGCTCCAGATTCAGTGCTCTGGACTGCTATGCCGTGAACTTCAGAAGGTCTAATGCATTATACAAATGGAAGGCCTCTTTATCTGGGGGATATAGTTACTCTTGGTCACATTTAGGAATGGAGGAAAAGAAGGAATGAAAGATAAGTATTCATTCAACATTTGCTTGGTGTTTAGCACAGATGGGTATAAAAATAAAGACTTGGTTTCCATCTTCTAAGAGTTTAAGTTTTTAGAATTTAAAAAATGGGCCTTGGAGATTCTCATGGACACTGATGAAGTGAGAGGGCATTTGGGCTGAGAGGACAGTATCAGGAAAGATGTCATGGGGTAGGCGACCCACACAGGTGAGGTGGGCATGAGGAGACCAAGACGGTGAAGAAGGGAGTCCAGGGTAGTGGATGATGGGGTAACTGAGCTGAAGAAAAACCCCAACTGAGTAGTATAGAATTGATTCTGAATCCATAGAGTTGTGAACAGTATGGTCAAAGCAGTACCTTAGCAGTAATTCGGTGAAGATAGGCAGGATGTGAAGCGACCCGATTTAGCATGAAGAGGGAATGGAAAGGAGGAAGGAGAATCCAGAATGACAGCTCCAGGGCCTTTTCTCTGTTCTCACTCTCTCCGACCTTTTCTTAAACTTGACACGACCCCCTCCACCATGGAGTTCAAATGCTCTCATGCTCTGCTCCCAACACCAGCCCAAGCAGCACTCTGTATACTACTGAGTCAATCACTTAACTCCCTCCTCAAAATCTGTACTTTCCTGCCTCTGTAGCCTTTTCCCAAGACAATCCAATCCCACTGCCTGGGATGCCCTCCCCCAGCATCCCCTGCTGTTACCATTTTGACTCATCCTCCAGGGCAAGGTCAAAGCTCACCTATTGCTAAGTGTTCCCTGGGTCCCCGGCCAGAGTGCTCTTGTTCTTCCGACCTCCAAGACCTACTTACTGATAGCACTTCAGACTCTGTGCCGTGTGTTACAGATATTTGTGTACCATTCAGTATCATGGACTGTCCTGTAAGTTCAGTGAGGCCACCAATAATATTTCAGGCAACTCCAGGTCCTTAATATTGCCTTATATACAGGAGGAGTAAAATAGGCATCTGGTGAGAAACAAATGAAGGACAGGAATCCTTTTATATTCAGCTTGCCCATTCATTTAACAAATACTATATGACTAGCATTGTTCCTCTCCA